ATGGGCACTGATCTTGGCTGTGGCTCAGGAATTCTATAGTGCTGTTGCTACTCTACTGGAGTCCCATTTTACTGCAGTAAATATTGTGACTTTAATTTAGCCCACAGTCTTCTTGAGAACTTGGAAGTACTTCCTTTCCAGTCTTTTTTTTTTTTTTTTTTTCTTTCCCCCGTCTCAGAGTCTGGAAATAGCTGTTGCTTCATATGTAACTGCTAGCAGTCATTTCACGTCTTCTAGGATGGTTTGGGTGCTCTGCTTTTTTTTCCCCTCAGATCTTGAAGTAGAAGTTCTGTTGTGAATACTGATGTTGCAATTAAGGGTTTAGTTATGTTGAGCCTCACCTGTACTTCCTGTTTGTGGATGTTGCTTTAGAGATTACTGGCAGTGTACTGTTGGTGTGCCCTATGTAAAACTAGCATAACAGCCATATAGAGCCTGGCATACTTTTTTACATAAAGTCTTCTGTTAGATGAAATGCTGAGCAGGCAGCACTGAAAGCAGCTTTGAGATTTGGGTTTTTTTTGGTTTTTTTTTTGAACTGACTGTATTTCCACATATTGATTTACCTTCTGCTCGAGGTAGTGCCACGTACTTGATAGAAGTTGTCAATAGCTTTGGTGTAAATGCACTAAAATTGTATAAAAGAGGCTTTTTCTGTATAAAGGTGCTTTGAAGGGGTCTGCCATCTAAGCTACATCAGTCAACTATAAGGACTTGCTAACCTTTTGGACCTCAAGCAGGCTTTGTGCATAAAAAGGCAGTTTATTGGAAGATGTCTGTAGCACTTGGCAGCTCTGTGGCTGCACGGCTGTGCTTTCTCAAGGTGGGTCAGGATAACGAGTTCAGAAAGGACTGAACAAAGTGATCTTTGAGAAAGAGTAATTTAATCTGAAACAAGCTTTCCAGCTTCCTGAAATAGGGTCATAGTGTTCTGATACTACTATTAATAAAATTTTGAACCTGAGCAGCTCAAATAGTAACTTGATGTTTTCTCACCAGTGTCATTAAATCTAATGTCTCCCTTTGAAAACTTTTTACTGGCAGACTGTGAAACTTCAGATAGCTTTGTGAGGGAGAGGGAGATGATAGTGGAAGCAGCTTGATAATTTCACTCAGTGGCTAAACTCTAAGGTGATACTGAAGCCAGCCCAACTATGATAAGTATTTTCAGTTTTGCCTTCAGAATAGGTCAGCTGTTACTCATCTTAACTACAGAGCAAATCTCTATCATGACATAGATGCTTTGTCAGCTATGTCTTGTGACATTGAAGGCTAAAAGCATTGTTTTGGAGATGCAAGGCTGTGTCACACCCACAGGTAGATAAGCCCTTAGTTATAGGCTGGCTTGAGAGAAGTTTTAGTGGGAGATTGTGCTATGGGAGCCGCAGAACTGCAAAGGGAGGGGGGTGGAAAAAAGCTGGAAAGACTGCATTTTTGTTTTTTTTTTTTTTTCCTCTTTTTTTTTTTTTCCCCCCCTCTTGCAGCAGAAGGATGCATGTAGGAGCAGTATGTTTAGAGCAATGGAGATGCCACTTTTGATACTACATGCAAGCAAGAAGCCTCCATTAAAGTAGAGGTAGAATAATCAGGGATTTTTATCCTTATCCTTTGTCACCATAGGATAGAGTTAAGAAGAAATAAACTGGGAACTTTAAGATGCTTAATAGTGGTTATAGAAAACAAGAGGAGCTTGCAGGAACGTCAGTAGTATGCTTGTGCTATTTACTTAGTACGCTTGAACTTACTGCTGGAGTTTTGCTGTCTCAAACTTGTTTCTAATACAGTTAAGTAAATAATTTCCATTTTAATGACAGACTGTTCAGGCTGGTGAAACTGTCTCCCAGATACTCTTGCCAATATATTTTACTACAGTATCTTTCATAAGCACAAACAAGTTCATTTTTGTAGATTTAGTGAACATAGAATGCTGGCTTCAGGAAGAGTTCTATTCTCTCTGTTAAATTTCCTGTTTCAGTGCAGCTTATTTGTACTTAGAAATATCTGGAATTATTGAACTCGCATGACAATGCAGAAATTCACCTGTTAAACTAAGAAAACAAAAAAAAAAAAAAAAAAAAAAAGCCACCTCTTAGCAGAGGAGATTTAGCATTGGAGAGTTTAGCTTCCAGGCATCCTGGGCAGGGGAGCTTAAATACCTTTGTCAGAGAGGAGAAATAGAACTACCAAAGCCACTTGACAGCTACTGAAGTAGCACCAGGAAGCAGAAATGCTTCCTAAGTGCCAATGGTAAGCTGAAGTCTGAGCAGTTGCTGCTGCCTGCAAGAGTGCAGTGGAAAAATACCTACTTTTTCCTCTGAGACACAAGTTAGTGCCCTATCTTATTAAACTTGTTTCAATGAAAGTAATTGCAGATTTAACTCCTTTTTTTTTTTTTTTTAACCTTTGACTTTAAAATGTCCTTTTTTAGTTCAGTCATTGGAAGATCACAAACTGGAAAAACAAATTCACTTCCCTTAAGAAATGGAGGAAAAATTCACTTTTGCATGTATATCATGATGAGGGAGATCCCTTTTAATCCTACAGTTCTCAGTGATACTGAGCTGATGCCCTGTGATTATCCTGTTATTTTTTTTTCTCTCAAGATAGCTATGTTCCAAAGGAGAAAACACCAGAGTGCCATTTGTTTATAGTACTTCAGGTGTGTATTAAACCTCTTCAAAATGATCCATATCAAGTATGTCAAGACTTCCTAACATTGATCATGCAATTTCTTTCCCTGAAGGATTAACAAAACATTCCACTTTGCTTAGAATTGCAAGATTATCTACTTGATGCAGTGTTTTTCCTTCACAAATAAAGATCTGCTGGATTATAAATGCTATTTAAGTTGTGCAAACCTTCACTGTGCCCTGTTCTGTTTGCAGCACAGTCCTTGAGTTCTCTGCTTGAACACTGGAGCTTGTCAAACAGCAGAAATATATAGCTGCACACAGCCAGGCACTCTTGAACTCTCCAATTCACGAGTTCTCAGGAAGCCATGAAGAGGCAGCAGGTTTTTCTCCTAACACTTCAGAAATGGGTATCTGTAAAAGCTGAAGACCCCAGAAAGCAGGGCTCTATCAGGGATTAAATGTTGGGTGACTGGAAAGTAAGCTGTAAGTATAGTTGTTGTTTTTTTTTTGTTTTGTTTTGTTTTTTTATCACCAAGCCTTTCTGGTGTTTGAGATTGCCAGAGATTTTCCCAAGCAATGCCGTGGCAGAGAGTGCTACATAGAGCAGGAACTTCTCTCCCTGCAATCCCCTTGGCTGCTTCTCTTCTCTTGAGATGGTGCAACTGTACAGTATGTAGAGGTGACACAATCTTATTACATTTAGTTATTGCATCAATGGTGTGATTTAGTTTTTCTGCCAGCATACTTCTAACAAGGGAGGCGCTCTCTCTGTGCAGGCTTTGTTCTTGCTGTATTATGTGTTATTACGTGTTAATGACTAAGCCTGCACCTATGCACGTGGCACTAAATATCATTTGCATAGCTTTGGAAACCTTTGTGTGGGTTTAGTTCTGTGTGTTCAATTCATCTTTTTCCCAGCCTCAACCCTCTAGCTCTTCTCTTCTGCCTTTAGAGGAAGGCTTAGCAGGTATGTGTCTGCTGTATAGATAGTGCTGGTTTTTTTTTGTTTGTTTTGTTTCTCCAGCAAATTTGGCTTCTCTGAGAGCTGCCTGTCTCACTTTTACTCACTGGTACGTGAGCACTTGAAGACTTCAGTTAGAATGTTTTCTGGTGAGAATTTACAACGGTGATACCTTCCCATTGAACCCTTTCTTAGCTTGATCCTTTATCCCCTATCAGTCTTGAAAGCTTTTTTTTTTTTTTCTTCTCTTGATAAAGGTTAGGAGGTTAGAATAGATAGCTATAGGCAACAGGAGCATGCCTGCCTTCAGTAAATATGAATATTCCTGTCAGAGAACAAGTTCTCATTCTTTAGAAAGAACATAGGGCCAAGGGTTAGGCTTACTGTCTGAGGGTGTTCACATGCCTTCTGTGTGAATTCTTTCCATATTCTTGTTTAAAGTTGGCACTTGAAAGTAAACACCTCCCCATTTTTTGGAGGCAATTCAAGAATGTGTTGCCTTCTAGAAGGGACTTCACAAAGATAAGGCTTTCTTTTTTTTTTTATTTTCATGCATGCTCAGCCTAAATGAAGTTCTGTACTTGCTAAGCTTTAAGCTTGTTGGTCTTCATAAAATTTTTTTTGTATTGTGTGTTGGTATATGTATCATTCCTTCTTTTGAGCTGTTCTTTTGATAGTTAAATGCTATTCAGATAAAAGAAAAGCACATGCTTGCCACAAACACAAGCCCTGTGTCAAAAGGAGCCTAGAGGCATACAGGCAAAAATGGTATGTCACAAAGTTAAATATTACCTAAAGCTTAACTGTGTTCTTCTGGGTCAGCACACAGCGATGTTGCTGTTTTAGTAGCCTTTATTTTCTACTTTCTGTTGGTGTGATAACTTGTTGTGTCTTTGCTCATGCTTTACAAATGAGATCATTCTTTCTAAACTCAGCACTGTGGTACACTGAACAGTGTTTAATGTACACATCAGTGTTTAATGTGTTAACAATTTTTGCTGGCCCTATAATACATGGTAAAGTGCTTTTCTTTACATTGTGCATGTCTTTCGTAATGCGTATGCAAGATCTGTTAGCCATGCAGTATCATTAGTCAGTTGGAATAAAACACGGGTAGAGTAGTCAGTGGAAAATCTGGTATTTGACACATCTGTAAACTTATGGTATTTTCAGTATTATAAAAAAAAAAAAAAGCATGGCATTGTTCTCTTGTTGTACTTCAATATGCAAACAGAACTGTCAACAAGATGCCTCACATCAGGAAGTGACTTTAGTCTTATTTTGGTATCCCTGTCTTCATGCTGGTTCTGTCAACACCTTGTTAAATAACAGCACCAAATCCTTTGATTAATTCTGGTGTTGGTAGGATGAATGTATTAGTTGGTTTTACTTACTTGTTCCTACAGCTTGCAGGAACAGCAGTTCTTGCAATAGGATTATGGCTTCGGTTTGATGTGCAGACCAAAAGCATCTTTGAACTGGAATCCAACAACACGACATTCTATACAGGTAAGTTGTGCAGTAACTCAATGGAATAGATCACTGTTTTGCTCATAGAGTCCCTGGCTACTTTTTTCAAGGCTAAAGACAAAACAGTCCTAATCAACATCTGTTGGGCTGAGAGTAGCTTGCTTTTGCTTGTGCTCTGAGCCTCTGTGCTAAGAGCAGCAGTGGTTGACTCTGCATGCTGTTGGTAAGCACTTGGGAACTTCTGATAAGCACAGGAAATGTGTCCTGCTGATGATTCTCTCAGATAAGTCAGTCAGATTTCACTCTAAAATAAGTTATTAGTGACATTAATAAGTACTTTTTCCCTGAATTGACAAGGCTTACAAAACCATAACTGCATCCCTTCCCATCTCTGAAGAAATATACATACTATTGTGAAATTCCTACAGCTCTTTGCATACTAATACTGAAAAGGATGTACAATGTCTTAATCTTTCAGCATTCATTATGGTCAACCTAACCAATATAGTTTTAGGACAGGTAGAATTTACTCCTTGGTATTTTCTGATCTAATAAGATCTCAGTCTAGGTTACCTGCCAACAAAGCCTGGTAACTCTTAAGATATTGATCTCTACAGCCACTGTCAGGCTTGGACAGAAGAACAGGTGTTCCTTCATTTACCATCAGTAGATGCTCAAACCCTTCATGAAACAGAGTAGCTGAGCTTGAATGTCCCAAACAACTGCATACAAAGAAAATTAAAATATCTGTTTCTTGCATGTATCTGCCATCATATGCTTGGATGCTTGTTGTATGTACATACTTTGTGTCAATATACTTCATATAGGACGTGGGCTTGTGGGCTACACTATTAGCCATCCCCAACAGGTTTGTCTTAGGCAGCTTTCTTGTGATTTAGGTACTTGAACTGTTTTCAGCATCCAAACAGATATCTGTGGGGTCAGTGAAGACAATGTAAGCCATCCTGGTATGCGCTGTTCACACTGTAGCTTTTAGGTATCACGTAGTCTTGCAGAGAATACTGTTAATACTGAGTTGAGTTTTTTTAGAGACAGTAGCTAGGATAAATAATTTATACTTGTGCATCACCATGAATCAGCTGCAGTCCACAAGCATGCTAGCTGGCAAGAAAGCCTGTATTCCACTGATACGGCAGTAGAGTGGGTTCTTCCTGCAGCTGCCCAGATTTCCAGATGCTTTTAACTGGACTTTGAGAGGGGAAGAGAGCTAAACATATCTGAGCTCAATTTTGAGTAATCTAAAACAACCCTTTCACCTCCTAAAATTTATGGCAGTTTTGTAATGTTGTATTTGAGCCTATGGCTGAATACAGTGAAACAAACCTATTTAAAGTCTGTAGGTTAAACTGAGTTAAGAAAGAGGTAAATATGAATTAATGGCTTGACATTTTTACAGAGCTAATTTCTGGCGGTAGCTTTCAGTGGGAGGTTAAAAGAGTCTGCCAGCTTGCAGCTAATAAGAAAGCAAAGGGAATCTGGTTTTCACCATCTGAGTGATAGAATTTTTTAATAATAAATTTAATAATTTTATTTTTTTTAAACTAAAAGAAGGAAGATTTAGGTTTAGATGTTAGAAGGAAACTGTCAGAGTGGTGAGACACTGGGACAGGCTGGCCAGAGAAGTTGTGGGTGCCTCATCCTTACAGGTATTGAAGATGACTCATGCCCATAGCAGGAGGATAGGAACTCCAAGATCCCTTCCAAGCAAAAGCATTCTATGGTTCTATGAAATTACCTCAAAGGCCTTCTATTCTACTATAAGTAAAATTTAAAATAAGAGGTTCTTATGAATTCTTTCCCCCCACAATGGGAAGAATTTCAACTGAGTTTAGAAAGTGCTGTAATTGTTGATAAGAATAATCATTTACATAGACTTAATCAAGTTAGATGTTTATTTTGGCAGGTAATACTTACTTGTTTATTAAAGAATCACAGAATGGCCCTGCTTGGAAGGGACCTCAAGGATCATGAATCTGCAACCCCCCTGCCACAGCAAGGCTGCCAATACTAGACCAGGCTGCCTGGGGCTCCATCCAATCTGGCCTTGAACACCTCCAAGGACAGGGCATCCACAACCTCTCTGAGCAGCCTGTTCCAGTACCTCACCACTCTCTCTGTAAAGAATTTCCCCCTGACATCCAACCTAAATCTCCCCTCCCTCAACTTAAAACCATTTCCCCTTGTCCTGCAGTATCAATGCTTTCAAAGACTTGATTCCCCTCTTATTTGTAGGCTCCCTTTAGGTATTGAAAGGCTGCAATGAGGTCACCCTGCAGCCTTCTTTTTTCCAGGCTGAACAAGCCCAGCTCCCTCAGCCTGTGCTCGTAGGGGAGGTGCTCCAGTCCCCTGATCAGTTTTGTGGCTCTCCTCTGGACCCTCTCCACCAGCTCCATGTCTTTCTGGTACTGGGGGCTCCACGCTTGGACACAGTAGTCCAGATGGGGCCTCACAAGAGCGGAGTAGAGGGGGACAATCACCTCCCTGTCCCTGTTGGCCAACCCTCTTCTGATGGAGCCCAGGATACCATTCGCTTTCTGAGCTGCAAGAGCACACTGCTGGCTCATGTTAAGTTTTTCATCCATCAGGACCCCCGGGTCCTCTTCTGCAGGGGTGCTGTCTGGAAGGACTGCTCCTTCCAGTCTGTATGGATGCCTGGGATTCCTCAGTCCCAAGTGCAAAACTCTGCACTTTGCTGTGTTGAACCTCATCAGATTCACCCGGGCTTGCCTTTCTAGCCTCTCAAGATCCCTCTGAATGGCATCCCTTCCTTCTACCTTGTCAACCGCACCACTCAGCTTGGTGTCATCAGGAAATTTGCTGAGGGTGCACTCGATTCTGTCATTGATGTCACTGATAAAGATGTTAAAGAGTACTGGTCCCAAGAGAGACCCCTAGGGGATGCCGCTCATTACCGGCCTCCGCCTGGACATAGAGGTATTGATGACCTCCCTCTGTCTGTGGCCTTTCAACCAATTTTTTTATCCATTAAGTGGTCCACCCATCAAATCTACATTCCTCCAATTTGGAGATAGGGATGTGATGGATTGGGTCTCTGAACACAAGAACTGTAATTCTTGTCTGTATTGATAGAAAGAGAAGCTGGATATGAACCAGCAGTATACGATTGCAGCCTGGAAGGCCAACTATGTTCTGGGCTGCATTAAAAGAGGAATAGTTATCAGGGAGAGGGAGGTGATTGTCCCTCTCTACTCAGTTCTTGTGAGGCACCATCTGCAGTACTGCGTCCAGGCCTGGGACCCCCAGCATGAGAAGGAAGTGGACCACTTGGAACAGGTCCAGAGGAGGGCCACTAAGATGATCAGAGGGCTGGAGCACGTATCTTGTGAAGAAGGGTTGAGGGAACTGGGCTTGTTTAGCTTGGAAAAAACAAAACAAAAAAAAAGGCTTCAGGGAGACCTCATTGTGGCCTTCCAGTATTTGAAGGGAGCATATAAACTGGAAGGGTTACATCTGTTTACAAGGGTGGGTAGTGATAGGACAAGGGGGAATGGTTTTAAACTAAGATAGGGAAGATTTAGATTAATATTAGGAGGCTTTACACACAGAGGGTGGTGACATGCTTGCGTTGCAAAATGAGGTTGTGGATGCCTCATCCCTGGAGCCCATTCAAGGCCAGGCAGGATGTGGCTCTGGACAGCCTTGTCCAGTGGTTGGCCACCTTGCACATAGCAGGGGGGTTGAAACTAGATGATCATTGTGGTCCTTTTCAACCCAGGCCATTCTATGATTCTATGGAATGTCAAAGTAATTTTACATGTGTTGTGTTAATTTTTTTTTAACCATTTTTCACCACCTAAGTGATACTTGTCATCCATCCCATGGGACTTGTGTTTTCTTAGCTATCTCTTAATGCTTTTAATAGCTAGCAGCTGAAGGGCTGTAATTCTTAACTTGATAGTTCCCAAGATTAGGAGATATTTGGGCATAGAAATACTTAGTCCAGAACCGTTTGCTCCCTCCTCTTTAACACTTGCTACTTAAATTCTGGGCAAAATGGTCTATAGGTTTAACCACTTGATTTAAAGAAGTATCTGCTTTCAAAAAGGCAGAAGATTTTGAATTTCTTTTAGCTGTTAAATTAGGCAGCTGAATATGACACTGTGGCTGGTAAAATAATTTGGCAATTCTTGACAGACAAGTAGGGTACAAAAGCATTTAAAGCTTTAACAGATTGTACTGTCCACTTCCATTAGGAGAATAGGTACTGAAAAGTTTGTGGGGAAGTTTACTTTGAAAATTAAGTTCACCCCCTTTTTGCTGAAAACAACAAATTTTTTAAAAGCTATTTATAAAGCAACTAACTTGCTGCTGAGGATTCAACTAGTTTGTATGAATTTTTGTTTCCTTTCTAGGAATTTACATACTAATTGGAGCTGGTGCACTCATGATGCTGGTTGGCTTCTTGGGATGCTGTGGTGCGTTGCAGGAATCACAATGTATGCTTGGACTGGTAAGCATGAGTGCTTAACAAAGTAGTGTTTAAACTTAGCTTTCTGATCAGAAAGGAAGGATAATATTGGCTGTAGAGTAAAAGGGAACAGATGCTAATTGGATGGGTCTCACAATGTTTTAATTTATGGTCATATACATAATGATAAAATATTTAAATAATGATATTTAGTTTCCATTTCTGGCACTAAATCAAAACGTATGTTACATTTGAATGCAAAATGACCAAGTTAATGACATTCAGACACTGAGGTGTATCAAGAGAATTGGAGAATGTGTGAATGCAGGACTAAAATTTTGGTAAGATTAATGCTGTTTATTAAACAGTCCTAAATTCTGAATGCTTTGTTGAGATATTTGAGACCAGTACTGGAGTATTATAAGCTCCTCAAAGCAGAAAACTTCTGCTGTTCATAATCACTGTGTGAAGTAGTCTAGTTGACAAGTGTTCTTCAAGTCAGTTGTCAGAGAGTAACCCCATTGTTTTTAGACTGCTGGGACTTACTGAGTTCAAGTATGTTTGTGCCTATTGTGGAACTATTAATTCAAATATGGTTAATAGGACTAATATAGCTGGTGGAAAAATAATTCACTTCCTGTATAATGATTTGTAAAGCTTTACCTTTCTTGCAAAATTATGCCGCTAGTTCAGAATTACCATAATGGACACCTCTTTTTAAAGTGCCTTTAAGTCATCAGTGTTCTGAAACTGCTAGTTGAATATGGTGTTACTTCTATTTGTGTTAGAAACAAGTGACTATCAGCACTGAAGTTAGGCTCTCAGGTGGCATGCTAGGTATTAAGTTACGACTTGTAGAGCAATAAGGGTGACAAACCAGAGAAAGCATGTTAACTATATGATGTCTGTGTGACCTGTGTAACTTCAAGTCTGAATTAACAAATAATTGGCTTTAATTAACACTGATCAAAAAAGCAGGACTCCTCCTTAGAAAACATAGCCAAGCTTACTGATGCTGTGAGAAGGAAGTGTTGAATGTATGTCCTATTCCCTGTTTTCAACCAGAGTTTCAGAACTTCAGCTAAAAACAGATTGAGTGATAATTCCCACAAGGCTTAACACTGGGGACCAGACAAGCTTTCAAGGATGTCTGCTACTGTTGGCTTTTGTTTTTTTTTTTTTCTTTTTTTTGGTGTTATGGTGTTGGTTAATGATGTGATCTTGCTCTTCTAGTTCTTCGTCTTCCTTTTTGTGATTTTTGCCCTTGAAATTGCTACTGCCATCTGGGGATTTGCAAATAAAGAAAAGGTAGGTAGCTGTTAAGTAACAACCAAAGTGATCAACAAAACCTTATCTGAGACCTCAGAGTGAGTGTTCTTCACTTGAAAGGCCATGTATGTTAGTTTCTTATTCTTTCAATGTCACAGCTTCTAAATGCAAATATTTTTCCCAAAGCTACAGGTCTTAAATGATATTGTAGTTTTCTTAACCTTTAATACTGTCCTTCTGGGGTTTCTGTGCAGAAAATCTCTCCCTTATAGATTTTTGCCCAGCAAGCACCTTCCATCTATGTCTCAGCCCAGCAAGCAACTTCTTTCAGCATTTGGGCACAGTAAATTCTGGTCCTACAGCCTTTGGACTCAGCAGGCCTATTCCTTCTAGCTTTCAATATGGCTGGCCTCCATCCTTCTGCTTTTTGGCTCAGCAAGACAACTTCCTATTGGCTTTTAAACCAGGATGCCTTCCTTCTGGGTTTCAGCATGCTAGTTTAATTCCTTCTGGTTTTGTACACAGCAAATTCACTTCCTTCTTGCTTGGGGCCTAGTAAGCCCCCTTTCTTCTGGGTAAGGACCAAACAAACCCCCTTCCATTTGGGTATGTGGACAGCAAGCCCCCCACCTTCTGTGTTTCAGAGCAGCAAGTCCCCTACATCCTGTGTATGTCCAAAAAGTCTCCTTCCTTCTGCATTTTGGACCAGAAAGCCCCATTCCTTCTTACTTCTGGCCCATCAAGCTATCTTTCTTCTGGGTTTTGGCCCAGCAAGCAAACGTCCTTCTGCGTTTCGCCCCAGCTATTTCACTTCCACCTGGCATGGGGCCCAGCAGGCCCTTGTCCAGTTGGGTTTAAGTGCATCAAGTGCTGTTCCTACTGGCTTTGTGCTTCTTTTTAAATTTGAGGACTCGTGCCTGTTCAAATGTAGATGTCTAGTGAAAAATGTACCAGTAATAATCAAATATTGATAATCTATTTTAATTTGGAGGAGGAGGGAGAAGGCTTGTTGCAGCCAAATATGAGAAACTAATTACTGAATTAAAAAGACTGTAGCAGAGGGGCCAGAATCCAAGGTGCTATTGTCCCTTACAGGTGCCTTCTGAATGTCTGCTTCAATTCACTTCACTGTGAAGTGAAGCAAGCCTTCGGTAAGGTCTTAAAATTTCTAGGAAGGAGCTTGCTGTTAAAGGCTGAATATCGTATCTAAGCCATGACTGTTCTGTATTCGTGCCTCCAGTTGCTATCTCCTCCTCAGGTATCTCCTTTACCACTATGGATGTTCATGTGCTCTGAATATTGCCTTGTCACTATGTATGAGTTTACATAACAGTAAGGCATCGAGCTGGCTGCAGTTTTGGTGCAGATCCTGTGGTGAGGCCTTCCATACCAGTCAGGCTGGGAGTACCACAGATTATTGCTGCTCTAGCATCTCAGAAATAGGAGGGCTTTATGCTGAATCACCAGCATCATGTAAGCAAAGCAAGCCAATGGAAGGTGATGCAGACTGCAAGAATAGAAATGTTGGTAGATGTATTGGCTTCCTATGCCAAGGAAACTCTAATGTAGGTTTGGCTCTAGACTTTTTGGCAAACATTTAAAAATAGCAAAAATAATTGAAACTCTTTGGATATACTTTGTAGAATATAATTCAGTTCTGCTTTTTAATGCTCAGATTTTTTTTTATTTCCAAACTGAGTTCTTGGTTCAGGATTGTTTTGCTGCTTATATTATGCAGCTGGGGGTTGTAGTGACTTCTGGAGTACAGCAATGAGTAGGAAATAATTCTGTGTAACTAATGGGGAAAACTTAGTTTTCTCAATCCTCTTAGAAGCTCCTAGTTCTGAAGGGAATCTGTGAAGCTTATCTGTTTGGGTCAATGTTTTAATGTGAGTACACCATTTAGGCTTACTTGTTCCAGGTGAGTAATGCTGTCCACCCAGTTTCCGCTCTCTATTTCTATATGTCAAAAGGCCGTGTATTGTAAATTGTAGAAATTTTAATGACTACTCTATCCAAAACAAGTTATTAATCAAGGTAAAACATTAATAGAATACGACTATCTATCTTGTAGGTTGTTGAAGAGTTACAGGATTTCTACAGAGAAACCTATGAAAAGAGATCTCAACCAGCTGCCAGAGAAACCTTGAAAGCATTCCATTTTGCTGTAAGTAAACATAGTTAATATTAAACTAGGTAGTTATACTGTTTGACACTGTTTTCTAATAAATCCAGAATCCTGTACAAATCTAGTACCTTACTAACTAGAAGAAACCAAAGGAGAATTGGTAAGAAATGCAGCTCTTGTATACTGAATTCACTAATGGTATACTTTTTTTCCCTTTGAAATCAGTAGGACTAGTTCTTTTCCTAAATAAATTTAAAAGCAAGCTGAGAAACTCTAGAGTTCTAGCACTGATCTGAAAGTACCACAATATATGTAGTTGCATGTGTTTAAAAAGTTATCTTTTGCCTACAAGAAGTACCAAGCTCCCCCCAAAATGTGTACATGTGTATATTTAATGAGATTAAGTTCTTACTTTTGGAATCTTATATTTTGCTATAAACCTTGTTTTAAAATCCTTTTACATTAATCAGATTTGCAGGACTTCTAAGCAAACTACGTAAGATCTGTAATAATAGCTAATGTAATCTAGATCTTTTTTTAAGCAAGTATGGAGAGGGGGGAAAAAAAAAATGTAACTTGGTTTTCTCTTCCTGTTTTCTGTTGTAGCTGAACTGCTGTGGTATTACTGGAGGTCTTGAGCAGCAGTTGATGGACACCTGTCCAAAGAAGACCTTGCCTGAGTCACTTACTACAATGGTAACTCATGACTTAACTCTTCAGTCATTCTACCAAATGAGAATGAGAAACAGTTCTCTGAATAAAACCTTCCAGTCCATTAAAAATGCCTGTCATTCTTGATAGGCAGCCTATCCACACAGTCAATCCACTTGTACAAAACATACAGTCTCCCTGTAGAAGGAACAAGTGAGATGAGCGGGAAATCAGTACTTTGTAGATACATGCAGATGTATGGTGTTGAGGCCTATGTCATTAAATTCAGGGGCACGATGAACAAATTAATGCAAAAACTTCACATAACACACTCCAGAGTTCTGTTGTCAGGACTGCTGCTACCATAAAGTGACTTCTTGATATGCCCTAATGCTGTTGCCTCTCTTCCTTTGGGAGGAGAACATGAGAAGGGAGCAAGTCTGAAATTTCAGTGAGAAATTTGGCATTTTTGAAAACAGGAGATAGGATAGATAGTGCACTGGTGTCTTGCTTGAGTGGTTATATCATAAACAAATTCTCTGAATCAGATTCCAGTGTTGAAATAGTGCTGCAGTGCCACAGAGAGGAGAGGCACTTTTATAGTTCACAGAATAACCAAGGTTGGAAAAGACCTACAAGTCCAGTCCAACCATCCACCTATCACCAATAGTTCTCACACAACCATGTCCCTCAACACAAAATCCAAACGTTCCTTCCACTGACCTCCTGGGTTGGTGATTCCACCACCTCCCTGGGCAGCCCATTCCAGTGCCTGACCACTCTTTCAGAAAAGCAGTATTTCCTAACGTCCAGCCTAAATATTCCCTGGCATGGCTTGGAGCCATTCCCTCTAGTTCTATCACCAGTTACACAAGAGAAGAGGCTGACCTCCAGCTCACTACAGCCTCCCTTCAGGTAATTACAGAGAGCAGTAAGGTCTCCCCTGAGCCTCCTCTTCTCCAGACTGAACAATTCCAGCTCCTTCAGCTGCTCCTCATATGGCCTGTGCTCCAGATCCCTCACCAGCTTTGTTGCCCGTCTTTGAACCTGCTCCAGGGCCTCAATGTCTTTCTTGCAGTGAGGGGCCCAAAACTGGACTCAGTACTCGAGGTGCGGCCTCGCCAGAGCTGAGTACAGGGGGACAATCACTTCCCTGTCCCTGCTGGCAACACCGTTCCTGATGCAAGCCTAGATGCCATTGGCCTTCTTGGCCACCTGGGCCACACTGCTGGCTCCTGTTCAGCCGAGCATCAATCAGTACCCCCAGGTCCTCTACGCAACCTTCCAACTACTCCACCCCAAGCCTGTAGTGTTGCCTGGGGTTTTTGCAGCCAAAGTGCAGGACCTGGCATTTGGCCTTGTTGAAACTCATCCCATTGGCTTCAGCCTAGCTATCCAGCCTGTCCAAATCCCTCTGTAGGGCCTTGCTACCCTCAGGCAGATCAACACTTCCAGCCAACTTGGTGTCATCTGCAAACTTACTGAGGGTGCACTCAGTGCCCTCATCCAGGTCATCAGTAAAGATCTTGAAGAGGACAGGCCCCAGCACCGGCCCCTGGGGAACACCTCTCGTGACAGGTTGAGCAGATAAGCTCAAACAAGCAAACAAATCAGTGTTTCACTATGCATGAAATGCTAACAAATATGGTTTCCTTTCAGCCATGCCCTAAAGCCATTGGTGATGTCTTTAATACAAAACTGAATGTCATTGGAGCAGTTGGCCTTGGTATTGCTGTGATAATGGTGAGTTTGCAGGTTATGGGGTTGCTGCCTGGCCAAGGCTGCTTTGAGTACAAGTCTATTGAACAGTGCCTGACATTAACTACAGTCTGTGAGCCTGTTCTGCTAATCATGAGTACCAGTAAGATGAAGTTGTATGCTGTGGGTCCTTGAAACAACTTGATGGGTGGGGTGCCTAGGGACGCTATGCTACTTTGGATTAGGATCTGCCTCCTTGTAGCTTTAGCATTGGTTAACTTGTATTGAGTGAGTGTGGGGTGTGCAGGTTGCAAACATAGGCTTAGCAATATGAACAGTTTATTTCCTCTGTAATTGACCAGGAGTCTGAAATAACAGCGCTAATAAGAAAACTTGCACTTGTTTCCTTTCTTGGGAGGTAAATATGATGCAGATGCAACAACGTACGTTGGGAAGATTCAGTCTTTAAGAGATTGACTTGAATTTGTATTTGATCTGTTTTGAAGTACTGAGGGTAAGGGGGATTAGTGAGAATTAGCTGAAATTTGGGGATCAGAGTGAAAGGAGGCCTGGGGGCATAAACTGCAAAATAAGTTGTTAGCATGCATTTTGAGCCAGGAAGTATCTATGCTTTTTTGCATCTTGATAAGAATGTTTTTTTCCCCATTCTGATTTCTAATGAGTTTGTTTTCTTTACAGATTTTTGGCATGATATTCAGTATGGTTCTTTGCTGTGCTATCCGCAGAAACAGAGAAATGGTCTAAGGGCTGTAAATTCAAGGTGTCTGCACTATAAAATCTGTCATTAACTCTAGTGTTCTCAAAGCATTTCTAAAAGAAAATTGCATGTTACCTTTTTAATGCTTTATTTGGTACTGATATAGGTTTGCTTTTTATGCTATAGGTTAAAATGATAAAGTTATATTTGACTCAAGATGAATACTGTACACAAACCATCTGTTTTTCTTGAAATTTAAATAATTTGGGTATATTTATGTTTAAGGCAATTTGATACTTAATAAAGAGTAAGGTGTATTTTATGTTTGGGGAAAATCATTGATGGAGCAGAGCCTGATTGTATGGGGCTCTGAGCAATTTGGTCTAGTGAGAGATGTCCCTGCCCATGGCAGGGGGTTGAAAGTATATGTTCTTTAAAGGTCTTTTCCTACCTGAACCATTCAGTCATTTTATGTTTATTTTGATGTAATTTTAGAAGACAATTCCAAAGAATGCAAAGATCTTTCATGATTTGCTTTATTGGTACATACTGTGGAAGATCTCATAATTTCTCCCTTTTTCAGTGCTTGAACAAAACCAGTTATAATGTTTTTTGTACCACTGCAACATCATCTTCATATAGGATGTTAGAGGATAACTGTCATACTAACGATACACAGGCAGTGGTACCCTGCTGTGCTGGGCTCTACTCTGATGCCAGGTGGGCTTTCTTAGCTTGTGTCCTGGCATAACTCTATCCCCTGGCATCTGATATGGCCTCAGTGTCTTGATAAAGCAAATTCCTATAGCGTGTACTCACACGATTTTTCTCAGTAGCTGACTTTGTGCGTTGTCTATCCAGAACTACTGATGTACACAGTCTTAAAGGCCAAATCTCTAATTCTGGGGAGGGAACACAAGTTCTACTAGAAGTTAATGTACTACTCTGCAGTCGCTGCTCATAGCAGCGACAAGCACTGTGGCTGTTGTGTTTCAGACTAAAAGTGAAAAATGGGACAGAGCAGCTGTGCTATTGTGGAAACCCTAGCTGAAAAGTTAGTAGTTTTCCTATCCTTGCAATCTAAATGGCCTTTATAGTGTTTAAAATACCTCCTGGTGGGATACAAACCTCAGAGCTTTGCCAGTTGCTGTGCTATACCTGCATGCTATATTCAGCTCTAGCACCTCATATATGTTCTTAGGAGTTTCTGGTGTTTGCCATCTGTGTATTTTAAATTTTTCAGCACTTCCCACTTTTCTCTCATAAAGAGGTTCTCTTTTGACATGGGAAGTGTCAGAACTGTGGAGGTTTGGGGCTCTAACTGTAGCAATAGATTAATATCTGGATGTCTTGCCTTGTTGATAAATTCAAAGCCTTATGCAAATACAAGCTTTCCTCTGTAATCTGTTCTCTAGTACATACTGCCTTCTTAAAAAAGATCACTCTAAAGGAAGTGGGAAGCATGCATTTAGTTTAGACTTGAATTAACTCAGTTATAAGCTCATGAGAGAATGTTGTTGATAGCAGGAGTGCAGGTGAATAGCATGAGCTGTGGTGGTAGCTCTCAAACTGATGTAGAATTCAACTGAATACCTGGAAGGATATGTTTGCACCTGTTTGCTAAAGAACCTAAATGAGCATTTTCTGTACACACTAGTCTTTAGTTTACAATACTGCCTTCTTACAGTGTTTATGGTAACGTTTCATGGTTGTCTGCCATCAAACTCTTTCTGGAAGTACTACAACCCAACCTTCAGCCCTTCTTGAACATTCTATATGTGCTGGTTTGAGTTTTCTGTAAATCTTTTTTTCAAAGACAGCTGATTATAGTTACTGATGGTTACTTGATTATTACTTTCCTTTTAGCAGAAATGTGAATTATAGGTGTGATATCTGGTTGCAGTCCTGCTAAGACCTTAAAGGTGTTATCAAATCGATACATCTCAAACAACTGCTTCTGAGGCAGCTGGCTTTTCAGGCAGCAACTAGGTAGATTTCCTGAAGAATTTGCTTCTAAGTAAAAGTGATACCACTTTTTTAATTAAAAAAAGGCTTTCTTGTACTGTCCCTCTGAGCAGAGGGTGAGTTTCTCATCTTCAAATCAGATCAGGTGTATCTGAAGGATACTTGCTTGGAATGGCATATCTCAAGAGATGATAACTGATAATGGGTGTAAGTCCTGGGTAAGGCACTAACATAACACTGACCATTGAACCATCAGATGAATGGTAGGCAAACATAGCACGAGCTGTTGAAATGCACGTGGCAAAGAATAACTTGATGCTAGTTTTTGCAGTGTTCATGAGGAAACATTGATAAGCTTTGTACTGCATTGCTCTGAGGCTGCTACAAGTTGTGCCTGCTATCCACTGCTATGAGGAAAATCAAAGGAAAATGAAGTCAAGGCACTAGAAGATACGGCTATTTATTTGTTGTAAGCTAGCCAAGGACAGCTGGGAAAAGGCGTACATAAAATACGGAAATTTGCTCCAAGAAACAAACAGCATATCTGCTGCTATGTACTCAAAATATGTCCTTGCCACTTGGCCAAATCTTACAAAGTTCTTGGACTGGATTGAGGCTTTCCTTAAAAAATATATATATATTTTAGACCACTTTCAAAGTCAGACCTAGTCTGCCTCAGAAATTAAGGGAGGCCTCAAGCTAGCTACATGGTTGGCGATGTTGTCAGAAAGTGCATTAACATGGAGAGAACTTGGGTTTTGCACAGGAGCAACACTTACCACTACAAAAGAGGTTCCTTTTTATAGTGGAGCTAGGAAGGACAACTGTGGTACAGCATATTAGCATATTGTCATTTTAAGGGAGTCCTAGCATATTAACAATTGAGTCAAGTGCAAGGAAAAAATAACAGCAGATCCCTGAACTGTGGAAACAGTGAGAGATGTTGGAAGAAGCTGCCAGTAAAAGAAAGGTGTGAGCCTAACAGACTCACTGTGGGAAGAATTGTCAGATTGTATTCTGACAATTTGCTGAACTATAGTTCAGCGATTAGTTTATTTCTAAAGGGGGTAGAAAATGTCTGACAGGGAGATACTGTTTTTAGCTACAGTATGACCTGAAAAAAGAAATGTTTCAGCAGCAACACCATGAACTTATGTTGACAGGCTATCTGGATCGGGATGATTCTGTATCCCTTTTACCTGTCAGCCCAAATACTGTAGAGCATTTGCAGACAGTTCTTAAGAACTGGTTGTACATCTGCCCTATTCTACATTTCCTGCTGGATCTACAGTTCAAGTGAGTGTCACAGGATCTGGCTAGGAGCAACAGGAAGGGGAGGTAGATAGAAAAGAAAAGAGTGATAGGGACTGAAATCATAGTGCTAAATGTGAGTCAAATTCCTGTTTATGGGGAGTGTCTAGTTGGGACCCCAAGAGGGCCTGGTGAGGGGATTTCTGTCCCTCAGGGGAAAGCTGCTTGTCCAACAGAGTATTCACAAGCACTAGCTAAGTAAAACCCAGCTTGGACTCTTCTGTGTTTCTATGTTAAGAGGGTGGCTTTTGCCTACAGCCACTATATAATTAGGATGATTATAAAATAGTAACCTCTTCAGTTTCTGCTTCTTGGCAGCTCTGAGGAAATGACCTAATTTGAACTGACCTAATTCAAACTGTCAGCATTGAGAACCTTGGTTCCTACCAAAAGTCACTTTTAAATGAACCTAGAACATGTAGGCAGCTTCCAGACTTCACTGGCAATAATAATTAGTGAGATTTTTCCACTGCTGGATACAGGCTTTCACACATGCGTCTCCTACAAAAATGAATCTACAAGGCAGCCTTTTATGGCTGTTTGAATGCTTCTCTTCTCTAGCTGGCTATTTGACATTCAATTCAGGCTGAAAACTATTTTTTGCCCTGTTCTCCATGTTGACATTTAATTGCTAACTTACTATGTGCTGAGAGCTTGCACTTCTGCTTTGTCCCACCAAAGAAATGGCTCATGCAATGTCATCATGAAGCATCAACCTTAGCCTGGCATGCCCTTCTTATGACAAGAATTTTAGGTTTGAGCTTCTGCTCTGGGGGTTGGAGAGAGAGGTTTTTTGGCTTTGTAGGAATGAAACGGCATACAAACTGCACCATCAGCTTATGCATACACTGCTGCTCCTGGAGAGCTGGGGCAGTGCTCAGCAGTCTTTTCTAAAGCCACACCTCACCTCAGTGATGCAATCATTTGAGGATGGTAATTAGAAGAATCCTTCTTAATTGTTATCCTTTACTCATCTGCTGCTGTGCTGAAGTGCTTTGATGTACATTCTGGCATGATTCCCCTTGCAGGAAAGATTCTGAGCAGGGCGACTAACACCTCCAAATTACAGGTTACATCCCATCCTTGGACAAACAATAGGAGGAGAGATGTGGTTCCTTGTCAGCAAGTCATGATTCATGCTCCTAGGAGGCTGTTCCTTCTGAGGAAGCTGTACACTGCAATGAGGCCTCGCTTCAGTCTCCTCTAAAGAAAATGATTGTGCTTTTTTCTTTCTTTTTAAATTTTTGTTGGGGGCTATGTGAGCACGCAGACTGCACCTGTGGGACAGAAGGGGATTTTGCTCCTTTTCCAGTCCCTCTTGCATAGTCCATATCTTCAGCCTTCGTCCTGCGCCATACTTGAAGGTTTTTGTACATCAAAGAATGCTCTTGAAAAGAAAGTAACATGTCAAATATGGTGTAAATGGATGGAAGATGGCAGACAGTCAAATCCAACTCATCCTCCACTAGTGTAAATCATGCTTTAATGGGTGAGGTGAATTAATGAGGTCTTTTCTTGTAGAAGCAGAAAGCATGACATACTGTGTGCCTGCTATCCTCCAGCAGGGCAACAAGGGTTTGAGGCTTTTTTGCAATTTATGAGGGGAAAATGTCTGGGATTCTGCCATTCAACCTATCAGCTGCCTGCCCACTGGCAGTCCAAGGAAGCAAATAGTAATTAAAAAATGCAAAGTTCCTTCAGTTTTACTGCAGAGGCTGGGCTGACCCTTACTTTCTGTAGGGTAGAGAGAACTGTTAAGCTTAAAGAGATCCATAGGATCGCAGAAC